CACATGCGCGTGCACGCTCGTAATAATAAACGTCGTATCCCAGTCACTCATCATCAAACACACGTGCCGACGATGCGCGGTGGTTTCGCCACGAGGGTGCGCTATACGACACGAGCTGTGCACGCCAATGGAAGTCTGTGACGTCACGCCGTCGGCGTCCGTCAATAGCCGTGCAATTTTCACCTATAAGTGATTTACGGGCCAAATGCGTGCTTCGTGCCTCCCTGACGCCCAACGGCAGACGCCTATATATATATATGACTGGTAGCGGGGATCATGGGGGAAAAAATTGTTAATGATTGCGGCGGTTGCGGCTCGACCTGACATCGTTATTACGGATATTTATTGCAATAATTGTGCAGCGCTCTGTCAAGTGGAAGTGCATTTCATTGTTGATTTACGGCTACCGGCGTTCAATGAAGTGGTTGTACTTATAACCGTACGGGTGACAAATGCGGCTTGCATCATTGATGTATGTGTATAATTTCCTCGCTGCCCCATTGTCGCGGGTATGTAGCGATCGAAGGGAACGAACACGGTGTAGTAAGGTCGAAGTAATGGTGCACTATAACAACATTAAATATGATCTTCGTTCTTTTCAATGAATCAGTTTGTGATAATCATCGCAATTTTTAACACACTCACACGCGCGCGCGCGCTATATATATATATATGATGCATGCGATCATGATATTAACGGCAGGTGACGGGCGGTGATGAAACATACACATGTCATCCGCGCGGAGTGGCCCTCAGTCTCCCTAGCTGCTGCCAGCCCTCGGTGAGCGATGATGCTGCTACTGCTGCTGCTGCTGCTGCTGCTGCTGCTGCTGCTGCTACTGGCTGTAAGAAGAACCAAGCGCTGTCTAGCGGGGAACTGACATCACAGATGCGAGCTCTCGGGTTACGCTTGTCGGGGGTCGAGGGGACGCTGTGTGAAATCCACATTTACCGTGCCATCACAACGCGCCCGAGGGCCGATAGCACGCAACGTTGGCGGCAATGATGTGGGCGAAGGCCGCCTCTCCTCGCATCGTGCTGGTATACCCCGTATGCCGTATTCCGTGTCGTTGTGTCGCGTTCCGTGTCAATCGTGTGGGCAAGATTCGAACAGGATTCGATCAACATTGCATGGTGCGCGTTCGTACGAGTGATGATATTCCGTGTTTCGGGCTCAGGCTTTGAGATATATAGGTGCTATATGTAGAGTTACAGCTGTCGTGATGCGTTGCGAGGAAAGATGATTGCGTCTTATCAGAATCACATCTTAATAAGTTCACATTGCTATTGTAACGAAACTTGTGAATTCGAGCACTTCGGACTTTTTGCATTTCTATACGCGCGCACATGCACGCGCGTGCTTCCTAGCCACACACACACGTACCTACGTACGTACGCACGCACGCACAACGGTAAAAAGATGTTGTAGTTGTTGACGCCTTATGATATGCGGTGGTGCGTGCGTGCCTGTGAGCGTGCGTACATGCGCGTGTGTATGGATGCGTGGGGGCGTAAGTGCGCGCTTGCATGCGTGCACGTGTGCGTGCGTGCGTGCTTGCGTGCGTGCGTGCGTGCGTATATTCTAAGAGCATGAGCGTCAGCGCTTGTTTATATAGACGTGACATGGAGAACGTCTGAAGGCGGCTACCGTCAGCACCGGCAGATCCTCGCACATTCAATTAATTAATATCACCCGGCGTTTACGTTTGTCAGTAACAATTAACCGGTTTCGCGGCAAAGAAATCGTTACAGCATCGCCGCGCCAGCTGCGTGATTTGTAAGACGAAGCGTCAAAACTAGAAAAACTTGGCGAAAAGCTGCACGCCAGCTTAATCCGTTATTAACGCCAAACAGCTGCGAGTGGTTTGCCAGCCGTGAGGAAAGTGTTGCGTCTCGATCATGCACGCAACAAACGTCGGGGCCGGTGTGCGCGCTCACGCCACCGCCTTCCATCTGGTAGTAGCATCAGTAACATCATCACCATCAGCAGCAGCAGCATCAGTAACATCAGTAACATATCATCATCATCATCAGCAGCAGCAGCAGCATCAGTAACATATCATCATCATCATCATCAGCAGCAGCAGCAGCAGCAGCAGCAACAGCAGCAGCATCAGTAACATATCATCATCATCAGCAGCAGCAGCATCAGTAACATATCATCATCATCATCATCAGCAGCAGCAGCAGCAGCAGCAGCAGCAGCAGCAGCAGTAACATATCATCATCATCACCAGCAGCAGCAGCAGCAACATCAGTGACATATCATCATCATCATCAGCAGCAGCAGCAGCAGCAGCACCAGCAGTAGCAGCAACAACAACAGCAGTAGCAACAGCAGTATAGTAGTAGTAGTACTAAATTACTAGTCGTGTTCGTTGCTATTGTGCGCGTAAGTAATTTTTGATAATTATCAACGCAAATATATGACTTTGATCATTATATATTATATTATATCATATTATATGATTAATATATCATTAAATTCACTATTTCAGATGTCATATAATTACTCATGTGTCCGTCCAGAGTGTAGACGGCTAATTCTAGATCATGATAGTAGACAGCAGGTGGAATATATGTCTCATATTTGTTTTCATACAGAAAAATAATAAAAGTCGCAAATATTGTTTTATTTAGTTTAAAGAATTTGTGGCCGTCCTATAAACGTGTGTTTCTGTTGCGCCCGTACGCTGTTAGGAGAGTGCGTTCAAGTTACCCATTAAGAAAGTCGAGAAAGATGTAAACCGGCTGGTTATATCATAGATATCAGAAGTGAATTACAACATGTTTCTTTTTATTACAATGGTAGATTATCATAAAGAAACTATAGCAGTATTTTACGGATGGCAGTGCCGAGTGGGTTATATGAGGGAACGAGGGTCCACTCCCAGTTGCCCAGTTAAATATGTGCATTTTCCAGCCTTCGCTTAATTAAAATCGCAATTTCAGCTTTCCCGTTTTTCGCTTGACTTCTATATCCACGAATCACGAAATATGCATCTGCTATTTTCCGTTTTTTTCCCCAGATAAATGATATGGTGCAATCGCGCGTCCCGAAAATAACAGCTCCCTATTCTTATATATATATATGCAGTTGGTTAGGTTATGTAAGACTGTGAAAGCAAGTAGAAACTTCTTCCTGTTGTGTCGTGTTGGGGTCGCTATTTAAAATTATGTTGATATTTTCTACATGTTACAACTTATCAGAATTG